GGGGGTTGGGTGGGCTGAGCTAAGCTGCACCCATGGGTGTGCAAAAGAGCCAGATGGGATGTGGGATAGACCAGGCTAGGCAATAGCACATGCCAGCACAGGCAAAAACCAAGGCTGGGGGAGAGCCTGGTGGGGATTATTGGGGAGAGGAAGTCACCCTAACTAAGCCACAGCATCCTTTGCTGTGCCTAAAGACCAGACCTGGGGCAGGCTAAACTGGGTTGGTCCACAGTACCAGTAGGTTCATGTGAGAGATGGGGCTAGGGGTGAAACTGACCAGGCAACTGCATCCACCAGTACGTGCATTGTCTAGTACAGTGACAGATTTAACCTGATCCTAGTCTGGCTGACTCTCGTAAGAGTCAAGTCTGAAGCACAACAGGTAAGGTTTCTTAGAGGACTCCCCAGCTAGATGGCTGGGCTCAAACTCCGGCCACAGGGAAAGTCACAATGTATGTGTTCCAATCTTGGAGTGCATGTATCAGACTGGACCTCCTTAGTTACTGATGCCTGTGCAGTGACATTTCCAGATGCATCCAAGGGACTAAAGAGCCAGCTTATCTAGGTAAGCAGGGAATGTCACATGCCTCAAGAAACCACTACTGACTCTAGCACCCTCCAGTGGGTATCCTGGCCTGATCAAGGCAACCCTCCAGAACCCCTACCAAGCCAGCCCCAGACACAGTTATGGTGCAAGCCAGTGGGTGCTGTAGCCAAGTCTAGCCAACCCCAAGACCTTGCACTTGACATGCTATTGGGTGTTGTGGCCCAGCTAGGTAGACCCCTGAACACCTACTAGGTTCCTCATCTGCTCCATCACCTGACCTACTACTCTCTTGTTGACATGTATTTGCAGTAACCTGTTCTGTAGAAATCTCTAGCAACCATTTTATAGTCCTCAAGTGGTCCTCTGTGGTCTCCCTCTGACCCATCCCATTTGGTTCCATCTGTTGATTCATTAACCAATGAACCCTCAATAGCCAAAGCTGGACCAGGTAAGTAAGCAGCCAAGAGTTCAACCCAAGTCTTACATTCAGTTGGCATCACCTGCTGCCTTCCAGGATGTGTATGAGCAGGAAGACAATAAATAAGAAGCTGAGACACGAATCTAGGCTCTCTGATGTGGGATGCAGGTGTCTCAAGTGGTGTCTTTTTCAAAAAGATTTATTTTTTTCATTTGAGAGAAAAAAAGTGTGTGTGTGTGTGTGTGAGAGAGAGAGAGAGAGAGAAAGAGAGAAATCTTCCATCTGCTAGCTTACTCTCCAAATGGCTGCGGTAGCTGGAGCTGAGCTGTCTAAAGCCAGCAGCCAGGAGCTCCTTCTAGTCCCTACATGGGCGCAGTGGCCCAAGCATCAAGTGTTGTCTTAACCACTGCACCAAATAGCTGTCGCTGGCTCTTTTCAAAGGTGGTATTATGGTTTGTGTCATTTTGATGTGTTTCTCTCCAACTAAAGTGTCTACTACACATGTGGAGATGTTTTTCTGAAGATGATTAGGGTACAGAAAGATATACTGAAAGAGCTAAACACATTTACAAAGAGAGAGAAAAGAAAATCAAATAACTTGGTACTTGAGGTATGTTAGTGCCAGGAAATGATGCTAATCTGATAAGCATGGTGGAAATGTAGAGCTGCTGCCCATAATTTCATTGATCCCACATGATGAATTCATCTTGCCATAAAAATTTCTTTGTCTCAGTTCACCTCTGCTGGTGCTCTCATGGTCATTTATGAGACAGACAAAGTAGCAAAAATGCCCAATTGTCCAATAAGCGTGTTCCTGGCTGAGGCTGAGCCAACACTCTGCCTCCTTGCTCCAGCTCTCAAACTGAAAGCAAGAGCCTAATTACTGGCCACTTAGTGCCGTGTTCTTGTCATTGACTTTTCATTCATTTTACCATGTAAAACGAAGCCCATGTGTGGTGCAGGAAGCAGTGCTGCTAGCATCCCTGGACATGGGAAGGCAGTAGTACACCTTCTCACATACAAAGTATGTATGAGAGTGCTAGTGCTTTCAGATGTGAGGGCCAAGTTAATGAATCAACAGTGCATGTTTACCTGCCTTTACACAGAAACCCACATGGGAAGAAAATCCATATTGATTACTGAACAAACAGAATGTTGGGACAGGAGGCTCATAGGAACCTCAGCTTCTGTTTCCTACAGGAACAGTAGTTCTAGCTCTGCATTGTAATGGCTTTTATGGGGTACACCAACTGGAAATAACAAGAATTGACTATAGCTTTGTGTTTTATTTGTTTTCTCCTTTTAATGCCCACAAAGTCTTCTCTGTTTCACAGATAAGTAAATCGAGATGATTTGGATTAAATTATGCAATTTACAGGTAACATGTGGAAGTGAGAGGTTTTGACTATTTCTGACTCCCAAAGAAAGGAGAGCCAGTTCTTTGGTAAATGTGACCAGTCCCATATGAGGTTTGGCAGAAAGGCACAAATGAGCTCAGCTCAGCTAAGAGCAGTGGAAATTGGGCTCAAAGAATCAAATCCGGTCCCTTAGGCGGGTCTGTGCTGGTCAGAGTGCAGTGAAGATGGTGGGGAATAGATTACAATCAGCACAGAAAGGCCCAGGCTGGTGAGGGGTCTAGGAGCGAACTTGCCTGGGAACAATGGGAGGAACAGGGATTGGTCGGAGTAGAAATAACAGCACAGGGCCGACTGGAGGGATCTGAACAGGCATCTTGTACTTGGAGAATTAGATGGACAGCAGGACCAAGACTATAGGCTGAATGCTGTATGGGAGCAGATCTCAGCTTGAACGTAAGGAGCATTTTCAGATTCAGAGCCCTTGTACAAGCCAAGATTGGAGAGTCTATGGCCCAAGGCCTCCCACAGACCTGCGATGTTGATTTGCAGTGTTGTTGCTGTTCCTTTTGTGTTTTGAAAATGAAACCACATGTCCTTCTGTGGGGGGTGCATCCTCATTTGCATAGCCTGTATCACTCCCTGTGCTTTTAGTTCCTTCACTCATGTGTCACTCAGTCCTGCCTTAAAGTAAGGTTGCTCGATTTAGTAAATAAAAATAGAGGATGTAACTTCAAATTTTAGGAAAATGACAATTTCTTTGCGTATGGCCCATGCAATACATGGTGCTGTATTTGTATTCTAACACTTTGAAATTTGTTGTATTTAACCTATCAGCCATACTCTGGATGCTTCAAAGGGGAGCCCTCGATGTTTGATTTTGAGGAAGTGAATGCTCCCTGACCTGCAATACTGAAAGGAGTGCTTGATATTGAAGTGGGGCTGAGATGGCTTATGTGTGCGTTTGCCCGATAGTTCATGAGATTCCCCTGTTTCAGAGGACCAAGCGACATGAGGTGGGTGGTAACTGAATAAGCCAGGTGCAGCTCTGGGCCCTTTGATAGGTAGGACACTGACTTCTTGTTCTAACGATGTTCTATTAAAAGACTGATAGATGAGGACATCAAGTTTTTGGGGGAGAACTCACAACAAATATACTGGAAAAATCCCTTGTAAGTGAGAGTTGATTGGTGTGTCTGCAGCTGAGGAAGATGCTGGCAAGCTTTCTGGATGAACGCCTGAACCAAGAGGCATTTAACGCCCCCAAACAATCATTGTTTTTATCTGTCGAAAGCCATCTTCTGTGATGATTAGTCATCCTGACACTTGCCTATTCTGCTGCCAGAAATGCTTTTCTGGTTGTTTTGAACAGACTGTGACCAACTTGCCAAGGAACACTGCAGCAGTTGGTATGAGAGGAGAGATTGATGCTAACTTTCTCTTTTCACAGCCTGTTTGTTCGGTACAAAATGAATGACAGGGACCTCTGGGGTCAAGTTCAGAAAGCCAGAAATCATGCCTGGAAACACAGCAGTAACCTGTGGTCATCAGTTGGTCTTCTGGGTTTCTCCTTCCATCTGCCCAGCACTGTGAGTGCTGCTGCTTAATGGAACCTCAGAGAACAAATGGCTCAGTTCTCATTTTGGACATAAGGAAAGTCAACTTCATGCTGGGATTGACAAGGTTCAGGGTAGATGGCTGTGGCCAGCTTGTGTACTGTGAACCCTCCACAGGTCCACAGCTGGCTTCTAGTCCTCCTTGGTTCACTGTGCCCCTCCCCCTTTGCTTTCACCCATTTCTCTCAAAATCTCTGACTTGAAACAGACAAAATGAAAAAACGCAGGTAACAGAACAGAAGTAAAAACACCCAGGGAAGAAAACACACTGCAGTCTATAGGTAACACAAAAGAAGCTTTACCAATTCTAATTCATTCTTTTTGGGAAAAATCCTAGAAGACCATGGCCTTGTTGTCTCTTTGAAAGGCAGGTGTGATCAGCATACGCCCAGGTTCCTGCAACTGCTCAGCAAAGACTTTTAGGGATGCTATTCCCTTCATCACTCTCCCCTTCATCCAGATGAAACCGGTAAAACCTCAGCAGCTACTGAAGTCAGCATAACTAAGCAAAGCAACAGGTCAACTACTGTGAAGTAAGAAAGATCTAATGTGCCTTTTCTTTTTACCAAAAACTCAAGCTCATGTTTGAGGAGTAACTGGCTCTGAGTCTTTGGATCTTCAACCAAGAATTTCAGGTGACCCATGGCTCTCCTGTGTTCCAGTAATAACCCTGGCCTCGCTGCTTTTGCTTGACGGGTATTCTGTGTCCTCAGCAGGACCTCGAGGGAACACTGTGCTTTCTAGCTTTTAACTATTTCAAGGGCTTGCACTTTCATAGCTAGCCAATAGGAACAAACTCATTAGAAATAAATGAGAACACTGGCGTTTGATACAGAGCTATCCTGAACCAAACTCTGCCTCCTCCGTTCATTTATATGCTGGTGAGCTATGGTAAGTTTTTAAACTAAATCTCAGTTCCCCTGATAAAGCATCTTTGTCACAGAGCTGTGAAGAGGAACTGGGGTAATGTAGACACTCACTACATGGCAATTATCATTGTCATGCCTGTTGAATTTGTGTAAAATGTAAGGAAAAGGAAGTACTACATAGCAGTGCGATTTTATATCCGTTTAATGCCATCCCATTTTGGAAATCTGACAAATGAGTTAGTTGCCTATGGAGCTGTTTGCTGTGGCTGGCACTACATTGCTGGTCCCTAAAAGCATTTAAGAGAGTGGTTACAGTCAGCAGTGGCATGCAAGTCAATGATTTTACTTAGGCTATCTCTTGGGACCGCGGGAAGAAGCCTATGGCCCCCTCCCATCATGACTCCACAATGCGGCGAAACGACTGGACAGCTGGGGAGACTGCACCCCAATCAACGGGCTTCCGGTACTCCTTCTTGTCGAGGAGGTGCTGCCTGCCACGGTAGTTGGGTAGCTCATAGAAGACCCAGGCACCCTCCAGCACCTTACATGAGTGGATCTCGCGCATGTGAAACTGCTCCAGGATAGAAGGGCAATCTTCAGTGGTCTCATACATCTGACCATTAAAATCCCCTTTCTCAAAGATCTGAAGCTTATAGTGGCCTCCACTAGGCTGAAAAAAAAAAGAAAGGAAACATCAGGAGGAAACAAACAACTACCACCATGGAAATGACCAAGAACTCAGAGACAGCGGTCTGCTTCAGAGCTCAGCTTAAGAGCCTGAAGAACAGAACTGAATCACCAGTTTGCAAAACAAAGCAGCATGGATGTTATGTTGGGACTTTTTTTTTTTTAAGATTTATTTATTTTATTGGAAAGTCAGATATACAGAGAGGAGGAGAGACAGAGAGGAAGATCTTCCATCCGATGATTCACTCCCCAAGTGAGCGCAACAGCCGATGTTATGCCGGTCCGAAGCCAGGAGCCAGGAACTTCTTCTGGGTCTCCCTCACCAGTGCAGGGTCCCAAGGCTTTGGGCCGTCTTCTACTGCTTTCCCAGGCCACAAGCAGGGAGGTGGATGGGAAGTGGAGCTGCCGGGATTAGAACCAGCATCCATATGGGATCCCAGGGTGTTCAAGGTGAGGACTTTAGCTGCCAGGCCATGCCACCAGGCCCTATGTTGGGACTTTTAATTGATCAGGATGATACTCTGCTGGCTCTACCTTCAGACCAGAGATGGTCTCCCCAACAAGCCGTTGAACTTATCTGGACAATAAGATACTGGACTCTATGCTTGGTATATGCTTGCAATGAAAGCATCTCAACTGAACTTGAACTGTGGTAATGCAACAAGGTGGAGGAATCCACCATGGGGGGAGGGTTTGGGGAAGGGTGGGGGGAATCCCAGTACCTATAAAACTGTGTCACATAATGCAATGTAATTAATAAAAAAAAAATAGCCATATAGGGATGATCACAGTAATACAAATTTGTGTAAATAATTAGAAGCAAGAAATATAATATCCACAAAAAGTGAAAGAAAAAAAAAAAGCAGCATGCCATTCCTCAGGCAACTCAAAAAGTAGAGAAAGACCCCAGGAATAACTCAGGTCTTTAATCTTGCCACTAACGGATCTAAGGTTTTATTCACGCTTCTTTGGCAGCTGACAGGAAGACACGAGAGAAAAAGAGAGCGTGCCAGCCCGGGCCTGCCCTGCACTCACCAGACGGACAGCTCGGCAGGAGCTGAGGCGATCATTGAGGCCCATCCAGCGCTGGTACTCGGGGTACTCTCCCTGAGGCAGGATGTACATGTACCCGGCAAAGTTGGGCCGTTCATACACTGCCCAGGTGCCTGCTTCCACTCGGATGGAGTTGCAGCAACTTAGACACGCGTGGAAATCCGAACAGTCACAGTCGCAGTCATACCGGCGGCCTTGAAAGTTTTTGTCTTCATAGAAAGTAATCTGGCATGCAGGATGAATATAAAGAGCTGAGGAGTTGGGTGCCTATAGCCACACATTATACAAAAATTAAGAGGGCTGGTACAGGAGCACAGTCAACTAATCCTCTGCTTGTGACGTCAGCATCCCATATGGATGCTGGTTCATGTCCCAGCTGCTCCAATCCAGCTCTCTGCTAATGGCCTGGGAATGTAGTGGAGGATGCCTCAAGACCTTAGACCCCTGTACCCATGTAGGAGACCTCGAAGAAGCTCCTGGCTTTGGATTGGCTCAGCTCTGGCCTTTGCAGCCATTTGAGTCATGAACTAGCAGATGGAAGAGCTCTCTGTAACTCTAACTTTCAAGTAAATATAAATACGTCTAATTAAGAACATATTGCCAGTTTTAGAAATTCCTCTTGCCTCAATTATAACAGAACAAATTTGACTTCACCCCACATTTTGCTTCCTGCCAGGCAACTTCAGTTATCAACAACAGGCATGAGCAGTCTGAAGGTCTAACCTGGTGCCATACGTGAGAGCGCTCTCGTGGGTTTTCTAGTCGAGTTTATTGCTTCTTCCTTGATGTCCCCAGAGCCCTCTGTACTTGTCACACTGTTATAAATTACCCCCCTTCCCATCAGACTTGTGCCAGACTTTCTAAGGGAACGACCAAGTCTTACTTAATACGGATCTGCTGTGCTCAGCACTTTACCAACTCTCAGTAAAGTCTGATGAAAACGAGCTCCAAGTGCAGAAACCCATGCCAGGTCATATGGTAGACACACAAGAAAAAAAAATTAAATTGATTTTACCTCAGAGAGCTTATTTCAGATGTATACAGAGCATAAGCCAAAAAAAAAAATCTTATTACTGTGTTATTAATGAATTGCCAACGGAGTAGCTGTGGAGTAACAAGATAACAAGCTTTTTGCTTGCAACTTGACCAGGTGTCCGCCACAATGCCTTGGGGAAGCCTCTGATGGTAGGCTGTGGGGAACCAGAAAGAGCAAACGCAGACTCCAGAGCGACATCCTTACAATCGTTCCTGCCATCTTCATCAAGTCACCCCTGCAGAAGTCAGGCTCCCACGTGCCAGATGGCCTGCAGAGTCACTCTGAAGTCCTGGCTGGAAAGCAAAGCTCAACAGCTTTTCTGATTGAAACAAGAGACAGAACTCCCAGGTATTCGCAAAGCAATTTCTGAAAACCACAAATGTTAAGAAAGCCACAAATGTTCTAAAGAGTTGGTCTCTTCTTGTTCAGCAATTCCACAATGCAAGATCAATGCTAGGTCACAAGTTGAAGTAAAACCGCAGGTGAGGGGTCAGTTTTCTGGCACAATGCTGCCACCTTGTGGCTCATTTACAATACTCGTTTAAAAGGAAAAAAAAAAAAGGGAAAAAAAAAACTTTTAACAATGAGAGCCAACTAATCAAGCAGGTGTTTTACAGAGGCAAAGCAAGTGAGATAAACCTGTTCAAAGAAGAAAGGAGTAAAGGAAAGTGAGCCATTGCAAGGACAATAAGTGGTTTATTAAACCTGCTTTGGCTAGGTGGTGAAAATCAGGAAATAAAGCCAGAAAGGGGATACAGAGCCTGTTAGAATCTCCTTGATTACGGGAGAGGCCTACACCATAGCTTGCACCTGGAAATAGATGGCTGCCACACTTCAGGCAAGAGATGATGAGGACGAACCAGAAAGTAACTCCAAGGTGTATGAGGATGAGGAAGAAGAAAAAAAAAAAAAGGCAGGATTTAATTGCTAAGCACATGTAGGCAATGAAAGAGGGGAAGAAACTAGACTCCCAAAAGAATAAATACAAAATCTCATTTTCTTCTGCCCAGGCTGATCCGTTCTCAAGAGTAGCACACGAATAATTATTTTTTTCCTTTTTTTAATATTCATTTATTTTATTGGAAAGGCAGATATATAGAGGAGGAGACAGAGAAAGATCTTCAGTCCGATGATTCACTCCCCAAGTGATGATTCACTCCCCAAGTGACCGCAATGGCTGGTGCTGAGCCAATTTGAAGCCAGGATTTTTGCTACAGTTGTCTCAGATGAAGTGAAGTGGCTTATGTTACTAACAGTTGCAAACAAGTCTGCGGACTGCAGTGCAAACTGCTGGTGAGTGGCGCGCGGCTCATCTGGTTTTCCCTGGCTGTCTTCCCTGCACAGCTTAACTCGCCTCAACACGGCATTCACCCTGGCACACACAGAGGCTCGGGAGCTCCTCCCGCAGCCTGCATCCAGGCCTTCGGAAACATCAAGGAACTTCTCTAAAACAGAAATGGATTTGAAATTCTCTCATTCACACACTTGTTTGCAAGGGCTGGTCAATGCAGAGATGAGCATCATGCTTCACTTCCTTGTTTCTCAGGTTCGCTGCCTTCTGCACGTCTGTCCGACTGACATCAGTATCCGAGAAGTGGACATACACACAACGTTCTGCAAGGTCACCCTGCTCTTTGCCACCACTCCCGCTGCAACAGACCCGCCAACCGCCCCAAGACTGAAGCAAGTCACTCATGTTGCTCCCAGGGCCTAAGCTCCCACTGCAGGGAAAGACCTTCTAACTCCTGGAGCCAGACAGCGTTGCACCTAGATACAATGCACTTGTGTTTGGGAAAGAACAGTGATATCCATTCCATTGTCACCTGAGAAATGACCTTTGGACCAAAAAGAGAACAGTAAGAAATATGGAAATTTTCCTATTACAAAAGTTATTCGCAACATTTTCAAGTTTATTTTTTAAATAACTAACAACAAAGAAAACTCTTGAGTATACCCAAAGTTAAAAAACAAAATAACCACATACACATAGTGAATTTGTTTTTACCCAGTCTGTAACATCTCTGCTTAAATTGCTAACAAGGTCATAGAAAAAGGAGATGCAAGAAGTAATTTAGCATCTCCCTTGCCTGTGCAGCAAGCTGACTAAATGAACAAGCCAGCTACGAGAACGAAATATGCTATTATCAATCTAGAAATCTTTGCAAGCAGGGAATGTTATCAGAGTAGTTTAAGTAGCAGCTTCTCCTCCAGGCAGGCAGCTATCCCTTTAAGGACTTTAAATCCTTCTTAATGGGATACGCCTGGGCGTTTCAAGACATTCAGAGTGGTGAAGACAGTTGTCTCCAAACCTACCAGATTTCAAGAATGATTATTGGTTCTATTTTCCATGTGGAAAGGCCAGCCGATTACGTAACATATTAAGAGGTAGGCCTTGAGAAATGCAATGGGAAATACAAAACACTGCCTATATAGATTTTTGTCAAAGCTGTTTAGTCAGAAACTAAACAACAGGAAATGATCAGACAAGTCTAAATGCAGAGAGCTCTGCCAGACCCCTGGACCAGACTGAAAAATGTCAGTGTTCCCAAAAGCAACAAGAAGTGGGAGCTGGGGAGGGAGGTTGTTCTAGATTGAAGAAACTCAAGAAAAAAAGAAGGGGGCTAAAAAGGACAGCAAAGTGCAGTGCATGATCTTGGACTGGGACTTGTAAGAGAAAAACTGGCCGGCCCTAATGCCTGTTTTGGGGAACAATTGGGAAAAACCTGAATAGGGTCTGAATATAGTGTGATATGATAAATCTTAGAAACATGATAGTGATGCAATGTATACAGAGGGGATGTCCTTATTTTTAGGAGTGACATGCTTATATACTTAAGTGTAATAAGTATGCTGTTTATTTTCAAACAATACAGCAAACAGTGATCAGATATAGCAAAACGTTAACTACTAGAATACATACACATGCAGAATATATAAGTATGCATTTCATATTTTTTTATTCTCTCAATAGTTACTACATTTGAAAAACAATTTCCTTAGATTCATCGGAGAGTGGCAGAGCTAAAAAGAGAATAACAAGTGTATCTCCCTTGTCCCCAGATCCCTCTGAGGTCAATTTCCAGCCCAGCAATTGTGAATCAGTTATTTTAGAGGCAATTTCCCTAATGTAAATGAGAACTGTGGGAAAAGGTAAGAATACCTGTGTGAACGAAGGAGGTAGATAGGATATAATTATCACTTGATTTGCCTATCCACCATGGCCTGTAAGAACAATGGTTGAGGCCGAATTTCAGAAATACATTATTAACCAACTACTAAAATTTTCTACTGCACATAATCCTCATTGGCATGTTCTGTTCCGGCGGAGACAATTCATGACATACTTGTTGCTGCAAGGTACAAGTGACAATGACATTTACACATTATTTACCTGCATAGTATTCGACACAGCACCAGATATGGGCCCTTAATAAAGAGTTTAATAAAACCGTTAAAATAGCCCATACGCTACACATATTATCTCTTGACGCCAGGTTCTAACCACTGTCGTACTCACCTTCTTCCTTCTGTCAATGTATCATCAGGTGGTAAGTGGGAAGGCAGAAAGTCACTGGGGCCATTCACTTACCTTTGTTGGGGTTTTAGACATGTTTAGTTCATAGACTGGCTTCCCAGTACAGAGAGAAATCCAGGGATAGCCACAGTGAGAGGCCCCGAGACATTTATAGTGGGCTGATTTCAAACCGAACACTTGCTTAGTCATGAGAATTGGATCCAAAAATTGAGTCAGTCATTTTGAGGCTACTGATGGTTTCTAGCAAAACAATTGGGATTATAAAATAAAGGACAGCTTCACTACCCCTTTTAGTGCCTACCAAGTCCTGCTGAGCTGCAGGCTTCGCTGAGTCAAGATACCCAAACCCAGCCCAAATTTTGAACATCAAAACCAAATTTTCTCTCCCCTAGGAAATTCGGTTTTTGTTTTGTTTAGCCAGCAAACTGTTTGAAATGTATAGTCTCTTTCTTCCTTCGGTGAAGCCACACACTTTGGTAAGAATCCCAAGATCACCCTTTACTTCTGGACAAAAGTAAAACGTCCCAAAGACAATAAAACTTATATGACAACTAAAGGTAACATATGATCTTGTGTTTGCAGGAAAAATCGCTATAATGGACTTTTTGGGATAATTAGGGAGAAAAAGTAGGGCTAAGGCTTTGGTGGTGTTGTTTGGAGTTTGTGGGGGATGCCTGCATCCCGCCCGAGTGCCTGGCTTCCAGTCCTGGCTCCACTCCTGAACCCAGCTGTCTGCCTCCACATACCCTGGGCCACAGCAGGTGATGCTTGAAGCAGCTCTGTGTCCTTCCCACCCATGTGAGAAGCCTGGACTGAGTTCCTGACTTCAGCTTGGCCCAGCTCTAGCTTTGGGGGCATTCTGGGAGGCAACCAGCAGATGGGAGATCTTTTTATCTCTTTCAAGTAAAATTTTTTAAACACGCAAAAAAATAAATTTAGAAAATAAATAAGTAAATTTAGAAAAAATTAAGATTTACATAGAATGTTATTATACCAATGCTTAATATCTTGAATGTGGTCATTGTAAAATGACTAAAGAATATATTTCACTGTAGGAGATACATGTTAACATACTTAGGGTAAAGATCTAAATGGCTGAAGTCCTCGCCTTGCAGGTACTGAGATCTCAGTTGGGTACCGGCTTGTGTCCTGGCTGTTCTACTTCCCATCCAGCTCCCTGCTTGTGGACTGGGAAAGCAGTCTAGGATGGGCCAAAGCTTTGGGAAGCTCCAGGCTCCTGGCTTCGGATTGGCTCAGCTCCAGCTGTTGTGGCCACTTGAGGAGTGAGCCAGTGGATGGGGGATCTTTTTCCTGTCTCACATCCTTCTCTCTGTAAATCTGACTTTCCAATAACAGTAAAAACTCTTTTTAAAAATTCTTTTAAAAAGTGAGTATTTAAAAAGATCTAAATGTCTGTGATGTACTCTCAAATTGCTGAGCCAAAATAAAATAACCATATAGAGGGGAAGCCTTGTGACATAGCAGCGTGAGCTACCACCACTTGGCAATGGCAGCATCCTACATCAGACTGCTGGTCGGAGTCCCAGCTCTGCTTCCCATCCAGCTTCCCGGGAACAGGTATAAGCAAGCAGTGGGCAATGGCCCAAGTGCTCAGGCTTCTGTCACCCATGGGAGAGACCGACATGGTGACTTCAGCCTGGCCCAGAGCTGGCTGTCGCAGCCAGCTGAAGAGTAAACCAGCAGATGGAAGATCCCTCCCTGTCATATCAGAAACAAAATAAAACAAACAAAAACCACGTAGGGTGGTAAAGTATGGGAAAATGTTAACAACTGGTACACAAAGATATGTGGAAGTTCACTGACCTATTCTTGCGATTGCTTTTTAAACTTGAAAAACTTTCACAACAAAAAGTTTTTTTAAAAAAATGCACAAGAATATCGCAGTAGTAGCGAGAAGGAAAGCTACTAAAGGACTCTTTCTCTGTGCCTGATACCACAGTGACACCCGGTCAAAGAACATTTTAGGTATCTGACACGTGTAACTCTAGGAATGAGATGACAGCTTATGAACTCAAAGAAACAACAAATTAACTATTCTCCATTTTAATGTTCCTAGTCAAGGATATTCTTATGCAAAGTGTCTTCCTCATCTTCTACTAGAGAGGTACACAACAAATATGTTAAAAAATGGGATATCTCGAGTGGCAAATCAATTTCGAAAGTGGCAAATGTATTAATTTTTATTCAAAGTCAGATATACAGAGAGGAGGAGAGACAGAGAGGAAGATCCTCCGTCTGCTGATTCACTCCCCACGTAGCCACAATAGCCAAAATTGAGCTGATCCAAAGCCAGGAGCCAGGAATCTTCCCGGTCTCCCACGTGGGTGCAGGGTCCCAAGGCTTTGGGCTGTCCTCGACTGCTTTCCCAGGCCACAGGCAGAAGTTGGAAGGAAAGTGGAGCAGCCAGGACACAAACTGGTGCCCACATGGAATCCCAGCACATGTAAGGTGAGGATTGTAGCCACTAGGCTACTGTGCTGGACCCAAATGTATTTCTATATAAAGATTTCTGAAGAACAAAATACACAATTTTCTGAATTTATGAACTTTTTTAAGATTTTATTTTTATTGGAAAGGCAGATTTACAGAGAGAAGGAGAGACAGAGAAAGACTTTCCATCACTGGTTCACTCCACAATAGTTGGAGCTGAGCTGATCCAAAGCCAGTATCCAGAAGCTTCTTTCAGATCTCCCACACAAATACAGGGTCCCAAGGCTTTGGGCCGTCCTTGATTGCTTCCCCAGGCCACAAGCAGAAGAGCTAGATAGGAAGTGGAGCAGCCAGGACACAACCCGGTGCCCATATGGGCAAAGCGAGCACGCAAAGCGAGGATTTAGCCACTAGGCTATTGCACCAGGCCCATATATATAAAATTTTTACAAAAGCATGTGGTTAATACTACTAATTTTATGAATATACATTAATATGTAACAATCTTCAAAACACACTTAAATTAATTCTAATGTTTCTTTATTTGGTAATGTTGTGCTTGTTTGAATTTCATCATAAAACAAAAACTGAAAACTTCAATTAAAACTAACAAACACTCTGGGCCTAGCACCATGGCTTAGCAGCTAAAAGTCCTCACCTCGCACCTGCTGGGATCCCATCCAGTTCCCTGCTTGTGACCTGGGAAAGCCGTCGACGACAGCCCAAAGTCCTGGGGCCCTGCACCGGTGAGGGAGACCCGGAAAGAAGTTCCTGGCTCCTGGCTTCGGATCAGCACAGCACTGGCCGTTGTGGTCACTTGGGGAGTGAATCATCGGATGGAAGATATTTCTCATCTCTCCTCTTCTCTGTACATATATGCTTTTACAATAAAAATAAATAAATCTTTTTTTAAAAAAAATTAACAAACATTCTGAGGGTAATTTTCACTTTAGAAATAAAGCAGCAGTCCCTTTTTGATAAAATTACTAGTTAAATGGCCAACAAGTACATGAACCAATGTTGCTCAACTGATTTATTTCACTAGTTCAATCATTTCTTCCCTTTATCTGCAAGAACTGGGCTTGCCAAATCAAATGTAAACTTCACTTTAATATACAGAATGACACTGAAAACTTTGAAAATTAAAAATCTATATTTTATTAAGAAAAATACTTTTTTGAGTTTATTGAAAATTAAAGCTAGATGTGAAAACTAAAGATCTTTATGCAATCCCACTGTCTTATGCTTTAAAATATCTTCCTATCAAAGTATCTGCTACATGTATGATAACAAATCATACCCTCATTACAAGTGTTTTTCAGAGGATACTAAGTTCCTTTTATAAATAGTAATAAAAAACTATAAAACCTTTTTTAAACTCCACCAAGGAAGAAACCCTTTCATAATACAAATTAAAATATAATACATATATAAATCAACATTACCTTAACACTAACATATACACAATAGGGCTACCTTCACTAACTTCTTCAATTTAGCATCATGACAAGGAGTGTTTCAATGTTCTATAAATAATTTGTTTATAAGAAAAATCAAAAAAAAGCTAAAATTCAACCTAAACAGTAGCAATTGAATAGAATGGAAATAAGAAAAAGATTTAAAAGGGAAAAAAAAAAAAAAAGAAGAATCCTTGCAAGTCTCTGAAGCAGGAAAAACATCTTCCCTACTCAGCTGTCAGATGCGCACCGTCCTCCACTCACTCTCGTGCCTCCAGGCCCCTGAAGATAACAGAAGGAAAGTTCATAGCAATCACATTCTTTTGCTTTCATATAAGTAAAAGGGAAAAAAATATATTTACAAAATCACATAAAGTATCAACATCAAGTGATAGATTAGGATAACATACAAAGTTTAAAGTCAGTCATTTTCCTCTTTTCTAAGTATCTTATTAATTGGCAATCTGTGGGGATTAATTTAAACCAAAAATGTTTTAACTGAAACTTTTCAGACTTATAATTTTTAAACTTTATGAGAATATGGCTGTAACAACTTTAACATTTTATGTATTTGAAAAGGCAAGGACAGGGAGAGAAAGAGAGAGCTCCCATGTGAGGATTCACTGCTCCAACTTTGGCAGCAGTCATGTCTGGGCCAGGCCTGGGCCAGGGGCAGGAAGTCCATCTGGGACTCTAACATGAGTGGCAGCAGCCTAACTGCCTCAACCACCACAGCCTGTCTGCCCAGTGATATGTCAGCAAGAAGCTGGACTGGCAGCTAGAGCTGCGAGTGAAACCCAGGCGCTGTAACATGGGAAGAAGTGATGTGGACAATATGTTAACTTCTCTCTGTGCTCTTCTTGGCTTACAGCAAGACAAGCATTCTAAGTACAGACATGCAAAAGCTGAAAAAACTGATTTTTTAAAAGGTAATAAAGCCCTTGGTGAGGATCTAGGAGTCTTCAGGGTTGGGATACAAGCCTCCTCCTGTCTGCCTGCTCCACTCTGGGGTCCCCCCCTGCTCTGTGCATATGACCTCCTGTTAAGAGGTTGTTGGGATTGCTCCTGATTCCCCCCATATGCCTTTGTAGTTTTGCTATTGTCTAATGCTGATTTGAGTCTGTTGTCTATGAGTTGCCAGTTATGATCCTGATAGGTTATACTTCCCATCTTCCTCACACCTTCTTGGGTGATGTAAGATTTCTCTGCTCTCCCTCCCCCTTTCCGAGTAGCATAAGGCCTTACAAGTATATTAGGTTTTACAATTCTTTGATGTAGATCAGAAGCAGTCTGACTCATATCGATTGTTGATTCACTGGTTATTTCACAATATCTTATTGCATGAGATACAGGCTGTTTGGGGTTGAAATAATATTACTGTTTCAGACTGACATCATTTCATAACAGCCACATCAACAACAACATCAACAACAAATTATATCACCCTGAAAAAACATAACACACCACTGAATAGCCAACACATGCATGACAAAAAGGAAACACAGAAGTCTCTTGGTAAAAATGATGCCATCATATATTTCATGAGCACGTCATGAATTCTACTAGAGAATAGAGATTATTTGGAAGCAACCAAACTGAAATAAAACCATCAAAACTGAAGACTCCTAGATCCTCACCAAGGATTATCAGTACGAGCTCCAAGGACTACATCCCAACCGCTAAGGAGACCATGGGGAATTGGAGTGCCTTCGGAGGCCAAGAACTCTGAGGTCACCCACCTCCATTTGGATCTCCCACATGGGATTGAAGCCCATACCCTGCCTTGCAGGATCCAAGGTCATCGGAACGACAACCAGGAGAACTGAGCGGTCCGCAGAAACAAAACAGTAAACTTCCTTCGGGACTAGGGAGAGGAGCTTTCTCTGGTTCTTGCCTGGTTCCGACTTTGGGTCCCCACCCTCTCTCGTAATGACCATCAGGATCGCTCCAGAAACCCCCCAAAACAAACTAACAAATAAACAAACAAAAAACCCTAGAATAGATGGAGAACAGCAAGGAAAGCTTAGAAACAAGAAATGGGTAGTGAGGATGCACTTATAACTCACTGGGTGGGACACAAAGATTAGTTACTCCTCACTAGGGTTTTGAAGATTTCTCTGCACACCCCTCCTAAAACTGTTCACCTAAACTGTTGACATATGTCTTTTAGAGTTATAGAGTTAGACTACCTGAAAAACAGCCAGGTTCTGCAAAATCATGCTTCAAGGCTATAAACTGCTAAATACTAAAATTAAAATAGACATGAGACAGCTGAATAGTAATCTATAGCCATTTTAAGGTGTATAGAACCCAGTTGTATATAAACTGATAATGATAATGTCAATGTAGAAGTCATAGGATGTGGTTCAGAACTTGTTTTTTTTTTGTTGTTGTTTTCTCTCTCTCTCTCTTTTAACATGCTGGTTACACAATACCATGTCAACTAATTCCATTATGTTATAAATTGTTACCGATGTAATGTCGGGGTTTTTAATTGATTGGGATGATACTCTCTCAGCTCCACCTTCAGACCAGAGACGGTCTCCCCAAGAAACTGCTGAACTTATTTGGACAATAAGATGCTGGACTCTATGCTTTGTAGATGCTTGCAAGGAAAGAATCTCAACTGAATCTGAACTGTAGTAATGCAACAAGAATCCACCAAGGGGGGGGGGGGGGGTTGGGGAGGGAAGGAGGAATTCCAGAACCTATAAAACTGTGTCACATAATGCAATGTAATCAATAAAAAAAAAATTTTTTTTAGGGTAATAAAGCACACATACACATGTGAGCATGGGCTGCCCCACACAGAAAACACCTGAAATGAGTGGGCAGGTCCAGAATGCCTAAAAGGAAGCATGGTTAGGGAAGAGAAAGAGAAAAGGGAACCTGTGGGCAGCATCTGCAGCAGTGGTCAGCTGTGAAACAGAGTGCCCTGTCCAGTGGCTGGCTTTTTCATCAAGTACTAGGTGGTCCCTGTTAAAGCATGAAGCCACCTGGGAATTATACGGCACATCCACAAGTCCCGTATGGAGCTCGATATCACGTCATAGTGTCCTCCCTCAGGTTCTGGATGAAGCAGATGCTGCGTGGGAAAGGGAGCAATTTGACTGACGAGTAGGATAGACTTACATGTGCAAGCTTTCAGCAGCTTCCAGCTCAGCAGACATAAACCAACGACCTGCCATCAGCAGGTATCCCAAATGAGATCCTACCTGCTGTGTCCGATCCCTGCCACAGATACCCAATTTTCAATTCAGCTTTAACACTGACTAGATATTGAAATTCTTTTTTTTTAAGATATTTTAAAAATATAAATAAATGAATGAATAATAAAAAAAATCTTGTTGAGGCTTTGGAAAGCTGCAGCACCTTAAAAAGTTAAATATATATACCTATAATCCTACCTCTAGGTAAATATCCACGAGGAATGGATATACAAATCTACACACAACTGTGCACACAGGGACTGGTGTTGTGACACAGGTTTAGCCAGCACCTTTAAGACCAGCATCCCACTCCGGAGTGACAGTTTGAATCTCAGCTGCTTGGTGTCCAAACCAGCTGCCTGATGGTATGTCTGGGGAGGCAGAAGACAGCCCAGGTGTATGGGCCCCTGCCACCCATGTGCAAGGCCAATGGGAGTTCCGGGTTCTTGGCTGCTGCATGAACCAGAGGATATAAGATATTTCTCTTGTAATTTTATTCTGTATGGTATGATATTTTGAAATACATGTTTTTCCCTGTCACTCTCTCAAATAAATGAATGTTTAAAAGGTAAATGAATGTTTAAAAAGTAAATAAATGGTACTGGGCCCTATACTTGAAAGTACACACAAGAATCTGGTCTGGGATCACCTCAGACAAAGTTTCTTTTGGGATCTCCCCAATCGAACTGCTGGACTCAGAACCCTAACCATAACGAAAAGTGCAGGTTTCATGGTCTGCTATGGAGTGCAAGTGCCTCCTCAGAGGTTGAAATGAAGCAGTGGAGAGCATAATCAGCTGCACATGGAGGATATGGCAGTCTATTGGAACCTGCAGAGGATACCTGGCACCACAACAGAGGACAGAACAAATCAATCAACACCCCAGCCATATGCTAGCAGTGAAAAACTAGGCAAAAGGAAACTCTAAGGCAGACTATGTCAATCAGTGGATTCTGCAGCGACCTCATCGTGCTTGGAATGGCAAGATTGGCAGCAACTCATAACTGTTGAACTATCAAAACCACTTGAGCAAGACCTGGGATGGGTGGGAGACGGGGTAGCACTTCTCCCTTATCTCCCCGTTTACCCCAGATACAGGAAAAAAACAATGTGGAAATAATAGTCTTACCCACTTTCCTGTAGCTCTTGAACCTTTGTGCCCTAATTAACTATATATAAAGACTGTCAAAAATAAACAAAAAAATTTTAAAAAAAGATAAATAGAAACTGTACACAAAATATACAGAGCAGCATTATTCACAATAGATGAAAAATAGAAACGACTCAATTGCTTGTCAGCCTGAGGAGCACCTGGCCTGTTTTCTGTTTGGATATTTTAAGTGATGCTCCAACGAGCAATTTTTAAAAAATAGACTATTACAGGTTATAACACTTCAGTCAGACAGGAGGAATAAGTTCAAGAGGTCTACTGTAGAAACAGTGACTACAGTTAATAACAACATACTGTGTTCTCTGCTTATGAAACGCTGGAGGTATATGCCAAGTATTCTTGCCATTAAGATGACAATTGTATAATGTAAATACATATGCTAATTAATTAGACTCGGGCATTCTACAATGTATACATATCTTAAAACATCACATTGACAGAACAGTTACAAATTTATCTGTAAACTTAATAAAGTAAACAGATCTTTACATTCATAATTTATCTGTAAAATAAATTTTAAGAAGAAAAATTGCTAAGTTAAGGAGTATTTGTATTCTTAATTTTGATCTTGTCAAACTGGCCTCTAAAGAGGTAACACACATTTAGACTTTCTCCAGCAGATGAAATGTCTACCAAGTATATGTACCACCAGTTTTTGATCCCTGCCAATCTTATAGACAAAAAAAACTACTTTAATTTTAAAATTACAGTATCTATGTGAAGATGTGTTTCTTTATTTTTCTATGATCTACTACATATTCACATCCTTTTTTCTTGTTTTTTTTTTTATAATTTTTAAAGGGACTTTACTTATTTGAAAGGCACAGCAAGAGAGATGGAGAGACAGAAAGAGATCTTCCAGGACCAGCCTGATGGCTCAACTGCTTAATCCTCTGCTTAGAAGTGCCAGCATCCCATATGGGTGCCAGTTCATGTCCTGATGGCCCTGCTTCCCATCCAGCTCCCTGCTTGTGGCCTGCGAAAGCAGCAGAGAATGGCTCAAAGCCTTGGAACCCTGCACCTGCCTGGGAGACCCTGAAGAAGCTCCTGGCTCCTGACTTTGTATTGGCTCAGCTCTGGACAATGTGGCCATATGAGAAGTGAACCAGTGGATGAAAGATCTTTCTGTCTCTCCTTCATTCTATAAGTCTGCCTTTCCAATAAAAGTGAACAAATCTTTAAAAATAAAAACTACAATATATTTACATAATATGACTTCAGTAAATGTCTGTATCTATGTTCTTGCCTGTTTAATATATGATTTCTGGTTTCAATTCTGCTAATTTATTACACTTACAAGAGTAATCAATAAAGATCAGAAAATTCACAAAACATTCAGGTTGGGGGATTGGAAATAAGAAAAACATATTGCAAAGGAGGAATGAGACAAATGCGTTTGGGGGACAACAGTATTTTTGGACAGTACAACTTATGCCAAACAAAATAGCATAAAGATAATTAACCTGATCCTTAGACTCATATTTGTCCAAAATTTTATAGGTTTCACCTGAATATTCTGGTCTCACTATACAACATGGCACATATGAATATGTCAAAATCTGCGTATGTGGTGGGAATGGCAGAAATCTGGCAATGGTATGTTGGCAGGTTCATGCTCGGAAGGTGTTTGTTTCCCAAGGAATCTAGCTGAAGTGGCTACGTTAGACATGCTCACCAGTGCCGAGGCTGGAGTTCTATCCTGCCGCTTGTTTGGAGGCGACCGCAGGGGGCACGAGGCTGTCCAGCTGCTGGCGATGTCCCGTACTAACCAGCCACTCATAAAACTTGTTCTCCACAAGCACCTGGAACTGCTTCCTCTGCTCCCTAAAATTTCAATTTAAAGCATAATCACTAATCCATATAAATTCTACTCCAAGTGACTACTCAGCACTTTAATCAGGCAATGTTAGGTGATTTTTTTCTAGTTATCTTTTTATTCTTGCTCTCCTTAGACTACACAGATGGGAGTACAAAAATAAATAAATAAATAAAACAATAGATATTGCATGACTACAGAGCATTCCATTCACATTATGATCTAGTATGAAAACAAATATAAGATATAAAATTAAGTGGTTATTAAGTGCCTTGGAGTAAAAGCAGGATAGGAGACTGGAAAGTATCTGGATGCTACTCAGGCAACAGAATGGCTAGAGGCTCCTCTACAAAGTCAGTTAAGAAACTGAAGGGATTACCAGCAGAAGAAACAAAAATTAGAAAGATTGTGACGCTGAGAATACAGAAGTATTCAAAAACTTTATGGAAATGTGTACTATGAAAGGCACCAAAATAAATTTCTCTTTTAATTTAGTTTTTTCCTGAACTTTTTGAAGTCCCAGAATATATAACATGATTCAAGAAAACAAAGAGTGGCTCCATGGGCCCAGCGCGATAGCGGCTAAAGTCCTCACTGTTAACGGACCAGGATCCCATATGGATGCTGGTTGTAATCCCAGCAGCCCTGCTTCCCATCAAGCTCCCTGCTTGTGGCCTGGAAAAGCAGTTGAGGATGGCCCAGGACCTTGGGACCCTGCACCCACAAGGGAGACCTGGAGGAAGTTCCTGGCTCCTCGCTTTGGATCGGTGCAGCACCAGCTATTGTGGTCACTTGGGGAGTGCATCATCGGACAGAAGATCTTCCTCTCTGTCTCTCCTCCTCTCTGTATATCTGCTTTCAAATAAATAAATAAATCTTAAACAAACAAATAAACAAAAAGAGTGGCTCCCGATGGCCAGGAAATAGCTTAGCACTATTAACAGGCCTTAGTGGAGCAAGGACCTGGTGATTCCTCACAGCATCATTGTTAGAAAAGGCCATTCTGGGATGAAGATAGACAAAGACAAGAACTAAGCCAATTTTTTGTGTGATCCGAAGCATAAAAACAACCAGTCACTCTTTCTTGGTTAACTGGCTACTGCTTTGGGACACTTCTCCTGTCTGACTTCCTTAAGCTACAAATCAGTCACTCTTGCTTCTGGACGGCATCTGAAGCCAGTGCGCTGCTTCCTGGACCCAAGATGCCCAACACAAATCCAAGTCTAATTCTATCACTGAGTTGTTTGTAACTCTCTTAATACTAAATTAATTAATACAATAAATAAAAGGCTAATCTTCAATCAGGAAACATAGTTTCTCCCTCCTAGGATAGAGTCGATACAAGCCACCTTTTCTCTACCTATGTGCTCCTGGCAGTCTTTGGCCAGGAGTAACTACTAAGTAACAGCAAAAACACTGTTGTTTATTGGGACGGATTGAATGAGAGAATGGCAGAAAATGATGCAGAGGGAACCAGGTGGATACAATAAAGGCTTTGGATATACTCAAGTATTATAAGAAGCTATAATGGGGGCAGAGCAGGGAAATGACATGACCTAATTACTCTTAAAAGAATCACATCGGCACTTTATTTTCAAACTAACTTTGGTCTTCTATATATAGACAGTCCCTGACTTATAACTTTTTTTTTTACTTTTCCAGGGTGTGGCAATTATATACATTCATATATACAATTACATACATTCAGTGTAACCTTGCTTTGAATTTTGATCTTCTCCTGGACTAGCACTACTCACTGTGATACTCCATCGTGACATGAGGCAGTGGCAGGCAGTCACAACTCCCAGTCAGTCAGTGGCTAAGCTATGATGTTTGGCAGATCAGATGTATTTTCAACTCAATGTTTTCAATTTATGAGGGGGTTACCAGAAGGTAACCCCCTCATAAATCAAGGAACATCTGTATTTGCAAAGTTAAGCTGACTACTTTCATTGCTTCTAGTGTCGTAACAGATCTCACTATTTGAAAACACTGACTCAGTCAACATTTACTGCTTACCATATAGACTCTACACAGGTATCTAACCCTAAGCCTAAGCTTTTCATGCGTAACAGAATATAGGCACCTGAGTACAAAACTATTAGAACAATATAACTGCTTTTAAAATTTTTTTCAGTGACCAACCATTACTATATGACATTATAATTTTAATGAATTCTTAAAATTATATAACAGTAGTTAACAGAAATCAATAAAGATAATAGAGGCTTTTAAGAAATAAACTAAAAGGGTGAGACTCATGTGTGACCCTGGGTGATGTAAGAGGGGACTTCAAAAAGTCTGTGAAAAAATGCAATTAAAAGGTAAGTTTATTTTAGTACAAAAACTAATTTGAAAGTAGTGTATAGATTTTTTCATAATATACATTGTCCATAAAATTTGTGAAGATGCATATTAATGTCTGCATTCTAGTTTCTACATTTGTAATAGGACACTGTCTTGAAGAATAAATGACTTAGTACCAGAAGGTGCTTAGCATAGTTCTCTGTCACATACTAAGTGCTTAGTACATATTATCTGTTACCAGCAGCAGCATTATGCAACACTCTGCAATGAGAATGACCAGTCTGAAGTAATACTGTCTTGGTAGCTCCATCCACAAGACACAGACCAAGTAGACAAATGCTAGCAGGACTACAACAAAGGATTCCAGGTGTACCAGGCATTATGACTCCTCATGATCTTTATATTTTTTCCTAGGTAGCAACTGTTGCAAAGAATCAAAATGCTATTGCCTAACCACGTAATATATTTTCATTCCTTAGTCCATCTGATGAGAACAAAGCTAAGAAAACACTTCCAGAAAATACCATAATGGGATCAAAATGTTTTCAGTTACGATTTTTCTTAGAATGAGGATAATCCCAACAGATCAGGTAGCAAAAAACTGGGTTAAACAATCTCACCCAGACACACAAACATCACTCAACAGGGCTTCCTACTTATACTATTTAACACAGTGTCTCTCACACACACAACTACACATGGTGGGGTACACATCACACACCACTAAACACAAACATATCACTACTACGTCATCTTATTAAATCTTCACATTAGTCTAATAAGGCAGAAAATATACTATTACTTTACATCTACAATCAAGAATCAGAGAGGTTAAATGACACATAAAGGAAGTGGTAAAGCTCATATTAGCTCCTGATCAGAGTACTATCCAATATAGTACAGATACAACTATCCAAAGAATAATATTAAACTTAAAATCTAATTTTAAAAAGTAGACTTAAGTAAAACACACATTTTTCATTCATCCATCAACCAACAGTTTTAGATCACCAGAAATTCATCTAACTTTTACACCTGCCAATTAGACTTAAGCTTCTTTAAAGAAGGGAGTCTAAGGCTTTTGTATCAACCCCAACCCAACACTACATAGAACTCCAGTCTGATATTCAAGTCTTAACAAAAAACCTACTATATTATTTTAGCACAGCTGTAAAAATGTATAAATCAATTTGTTCTCCCACGGAGTTGCACATAGAACACAAACTGCTACTTTTAGAAAACACTCACTTTGTCAAATGAGCCTCCTTTACAGTCTTCTGCCAGATTTGTATCTTCTGCTCTCTTTGGCTCAGTGCTTTCTGATATGCAGATGGGAGACCCCCAGGTATCTCTGTTGTGTCCCCTTCCATTTCAAAGGGCGTAATAAATACATAGAATTCAGACGGCGGTAAAAGGCGGAAAGCATTTGTGTCAATGTTCTCTCTGCACACAACCATTGGATTATCCCAATAGTTAGGCACTGTAGCAAGGCCAGCCTTGGCCATATGGTCCTCTAGCATTGGGTAATGAGTATGAAAGGGGGCAAATGTTGCTCCCTGGTTTCCAGAGAGAATAAGTGGGCGTGTAGGTGTCAGAATGTGAAAGATGCAACCTGCTGTAGAAGAGATGGAAAAACGACGGCACACAGCAATGACTTTAACATTGTCACAGCTGTGGAGGTGAAGTGTGGTCTCCACAGGGCCCAAGACCAAGGTGCTATTCCTGCACTTCTCAACTGTCACAGAGCTGAAAAAGAAATGAAGAGGTAAATAACTGCATGGAAAAAGATTTTTTTTTTAATCTGACTTATGTACTACTAACTGGTTGTAAGAAAGGAATCATCCTAATGCAAAGATTTGTCTGCCTGTCAGGACACTAAGAAGACCGTGCTTATGGGCCAGGCACTTTAGCCTAGCGGCTAAAGTCCTCTCCTTGAATGCGCCAGGATCCCATAGGAGCGCCAGTTGAAATCCCACAGCTCCACTTCCCATCCACCTCCCTGCTTGTGGCCTGGGAAAGCAGTCGAGGACAGCTCAAAGCTTTGGGACCCTGCACCCGTGTGGGATACCCGGAAGAAGTTCCTGGCTCCTGGCTTCGGATTGGCATAGCATCGGCCGTTGTGGTCACTTGGGGAGTGAATCATCAGACGGAAGATCTTCCTCTATGTCTCTCCTCCTCTATGTATATCTGACTTTTCAATAAATAAATAAATCTTATTAAAAAAAGAAGAAGACGACGACCGTGCTTACCGTAAGGGAGAAAGCAGATATATAAAAGATTCATTGCAACGGTGAATCCTCACATGTGCCCCCACCAGGGTATCTGAGCTCTTGGCCAATGTCTGCTTGTAAACCTGACTCATCACCACAATGCGGTGTCTTCTTGGGGCCACATGAGTATTGCAAGTGATCTTGGCTCTCTTGGCTGTACCGTCAACTATTTAAGAAAACATGAATAAAGGAGAAAGTTTCAAATAAAATTAAAACAACTATATATGGTTACACATTTCTACATCTATTCATGACTAATGTGAGATGCATGTGAGGAAATAAATGCTAGATCTAAGCTTTGAGCACAGATTTTACTGTACTACTATTTTGGGGGTATATTTATGTAACATTTCATAATATTTATCATAATTCTCAAACCTATAATCCATTCAAGGTTGCCATAAGATTCTTTATCTTTTCTTTTTTTTCTATCAGTTGCTGATAGAGTTTTTTTTTTTAATTGCATCTCATTTTATGACATTGTTTCACAGGCTCTGAGGTTCCCCCAACCCCTCCCTGTACCCTCTCCCCATGGTGGATTACTCCACCTTACTGCAGTATTACAGTTCAAATCCAGTTTTGTTTCTTTGCAAGCATGTACCATGCATAGAGTCCAGCATCTTATTGTCCAGATCAATTCAACAGTTTCTTGGGGAGACCATCTCTGGATTAATAGCAGAGCTGGCAGAATATCGTTTGGACCAATTAAAAGCCATAACATAACATCAACAACAGTTTACAATATTACGGGGTTAACTGACATGTTATTGAGTGACTGATACATTAGAAAATGCAAGTTCTTAACCACATCCTATGACTACTTCATTGACATTTCAATTTTAGTTTATATACAACTGGTTTCTATCCACCCTAAAATGGCTATAGGATACTATTCAGCTGTCGCGTATCATTTTTCATTTTTGTATTTAGCTGGCTTATACCTTTAACAAGGCACATGTCAACAGTTGAAGTTGCCGATAGAGTTTTATTTGCAAAGTGAACAATTAATGTAAAATGAAGACACAATGCAACATGCATCCCTACTTCAAAACAAAAGATGGACTCCCAATGAAAGTGATGGACATATCTAGACAATGGGATGATGGACTGTCTGACATTGTCTGTACCAGCAATGTTGAAGCACACTAAATAGCAGGCTGATGGAACTGTAACTCCTTATGAAGAAATGTATTGTTGTGACAATATGGGAAAAATCAGTTGGGGGTGGAAATTAGAGGGAGGGGAATCCCAGACTATACAGAATTAATTGTACAATAAAATTTTAAAATTAAAAAAAAGTGAATGTGAAAACAAGAAAGTGGACAGATCCGTGACAAATCCAGAAGATAGGATATCTCCTAAAACAAGAGAGAGGAGAGAGAAGACAGGAGAGAGAGAGACACTGAGGTTTCTGGAAATATTTTGGATTTTTAAGGGTCCTCCTTGTCTGGGTGGGACCCTGCAGAAGACCTCCTCCTTTGGTGGTCTCCAATCAATTACAAAATGACGGGGCAATTCCTGTGTTGCCCACTTGATGGTGCTACTGGACCTCTGACAAATGATAAGTTTCCAATAAACAGTGCATGTGCAAACACAGGGCAATGAGATGGTGGTGACCAGGGACAATGGCCTCACAAGATCTGCCCCTGTATCTCTCAAGACTTTAGCAGGCTTGAACAGTCTCAGAACCCCTCTTAGAATCCCACTGCCTACTTCTTTAAGGGTAAGGGGCGAAGACGTCTTCTTGCTACTTCCTGCTGACACGGGGCATCATTTGGGTAAAGGAGCCCCTTGAAGCATGGGATTCACAGAATGGTGGTATGAGTCATCCAGGTTGCTGCCACAGAAGGTGGTCGTCATGCAAGGTTCCCTGTAAATGACCACCTGGAACTTGAGTATCTCTACTTGCTTGTGAAATCTCCCAGTTGACTTGAGTCACACAGCCCAGTTTAAATACCGTAGGTCTTGTTCATGCCCCACATTGGGTGTCAGGGAAAATGTTACAGGCAAAGTGCAGTGGGTTCTTTCCTCAGCTTAGTATAGAAATAAAAAGTCAGGAACTGGTTGCAGACAGGTACGTTTTATTTGCAAGTGAACATGGAAAGCAGAGAGAAGAGGAAAGTACCTCCTAGGAGATATCTGGAAGATGGGATCTCCAGAAAGGAGACAGAGACACCCAAGATTATTTTTCATATCTATCCCTCAAGTTAATATACCTGAGGTCACACATCTGCTAAGAGGTAATATTTGCCCACCTCAAAATCTTCTCCACTTCTCCAAATAATTTACTTCATCAACCCAACTAATCTCCCTGAGCCACTATGATATTAATTTTTTATCCCCATAAGTCGCTTTTCAAATCATTCCATGAATTCCATTGGAGTTCATGTGTTTATCCCAAAGATCAAATTACCTGAGAGCACATCCTCCTAACACACAGTGTCTAACCCAGACACTCAAAATATATGCATAGGTTACCAAAGTCTGTCATATTGTTAACAAATGAAGAAATCCTCAAGTAAGTGGGCAGATGGTGGGGAGAGGGAGAGAGGCAGAAAAGAGAAAAGCAGAACAAAGACCTACTGCAGCTGTAGTAGTGTTAACAGCAACCAGAGGAACCTTGACTAATGAGTCAACTGCGTTGAGACTGTGGCTTTTACAGCAGTCGTGTTTCTTAAGTTTCTACTGAAAGGATATGATCATTAGTACACCAAAAATCCCTGCATCCCTTAACTTGACATTCAGTGTCATATATGTTAAAATATTAATTTAAAAAAAATACCTTGGTGATCCCAAGCCAATTTTTTTCCAGACTTGAGGCAAGCAGATGTACCAAATGGATTCTCAGTCAAACAGGTTCTCAACCAGGCTTCCAGCTTGTAGAGAGAGAAAGTCTTAGAGATTTTTGAGAAGCCACTTTCCACATGCAGTGGCTGCCACAGTGCAAGTTCATGAAGTGGATAGATTTTCCTGGCTCCGCTTACTGTACCTTCAATTAGAAAGCTGAGTGCAACAACAGCTTCTGGAGAGACTAGACTGACATGGGATGAATGAAATGATGCAGTGAGTTGTTCTGGATCTAAAAGCAGCTCAAGAAGATCTGACAGATGAGAACAGACAAAAGCTTGATGACCGTAATCATTCCAATTCTAAAAAAAAAAAATCAAAAGAAAGCCCTGTGAACATGTCAGTGATTCTCTGAGATCCAAAATTGTTGTATTTCAATTGTTCCACATTTCTATTGTTTCAAACTCAAAAGAGAATTTACATAAAACTTTTTTATATATTTGATATGCAAAATCCAGATTCTTTCCCCGATAACAATACCAATAAATCACTTTGAATATGTGTCAAGCATTAATTATTTTTTAAAGATTTATTTTTATTATTTTTTTCATTGGAAAGGCAGATATACAGAGAGGAGAGACAGAGAGGAAGATCTTCCGTCCGATGACTCACTCCCCAAGTGAGCGCAACGGGCCGATACTATGCCGATCCGAAGCCAGGAGCCTCTTCCGGGTCTCCCACGCGGGTGCAGGTTCCCAAAGCTTTGGGCCATCCTCGACTGCTTTCCCGGGCCACAGGTAGGGAGCTGGAAGGGAAGCGGGGCTGCCGGGATTAGAACCGGCGCCCATATGGGATCCCGGGCGTGCAAGGCGAGGACCTTTAACCACTTGCGCCACCGCGCCAGGCCCTCAAGCATTAATTATTACACACAGTTTTACCTATCTAACCCCAGCAATAATCCTGAATTAGATGCATCATCATTCCCACTATATACACATATATATGAAAATGGAGATACTGAAGGGTTAACAAACTTGTCATAGAAATAGTAACTACTCTAAAAGTTTCAAATCAAACACGAATCTAATCATTATGGACATACAATGAAGCACTAGGTTTCTTCATTTATCTTCTCTATCACAGAAGGAAGCATAATTCTATAGGGCGTAATGAGGCAAGAGTCTTACAAGACTAGATCTGAGAGTTCTAACTTTGGAAATAAGCTTACAGTTGGCAAATGTCTCAGCACAATGGCTCATTTATTTGACAGACTTCTTTTTTTTTGTAAGATTTACCTATTCATGTGATTGAAAGGCAAAATGACGGAGTGAGAGGAAGAGAAAGAGAGAATCTTCCATCTGCCAGATCACTCCTCAAGCTGCCACAGCAGCCAGAGCTGCTCCAGGCTGAAGACAGAAGCCAAGAACTCCATCCAAACCTCCCATAGGACTGGCAGGACCTCAGGCACTTGAGCCTCATCTGTTCCTACCTAGGCACATTAGCAAGAAGCTGGGTCTGAAGCCTAATAGTCAAACTGGTGTTATGACACAGGACTCGGGCACCCCAAGCAGCAACCTAATGTGCAGCACTACAATCCTGTTCCTGAACAGATTCCTGACAGATGTTAGCAGTCAAGCACACAGACAAGGAAAAAGCATTCCAGGAATTGGGAACAGCACATGCTAAGGCACACAGGGACAGAAGCACCTGCTCTGCTCAGAGAATCACAAGTCCTGAGTGGCACACAGGAAGCATGCTGGGAAGCAGAAGCTGAAGTTAAAACGGCATGACTCACAGTCATCTCCCAAGATGAAAAGCAGAGGCAGAAGTGGAACTGGAAGGCCATCTGGTATGAGGTTCTGTTAGGAGCCAGCATCGCTCTGCATGTCTGGCCCATTCTCCCCTTTTTCTTGGATGACAAGCATTCCCCTGATTACCTCAGTTTCTAATCCCTCATAATTCCAGGAGACTTACAAGCATAGCGGTAATTCCAGTCCTAACATCACATGAGTTTTCAACCGGTCATTTCCTTGGTCTTTCTGGAGACTGATTTGTTCCACATCATCTAAGGTCAGACTCATTCCAAATGCACAGCAATAAATAGGCCACTCAAGTGTCCATCACTGAGCCAATCAATTGTGCGGGGGAAATCATGCAGAGTGCAAACAAGAGTCACCATTTACTGGCGCTTACTATGCAATAAGTGCCTAACTTAATTCAGGACTGAATTATCATAGCCATTTAAAAATAGATCTAGATCATTTTGACAAAGCCTAGACAAGTTAACAAACTTGTCTAAAATCATCTGACTACTAAGCAAGAAGAGCCAAATGTGAACGCAGATTACCTTAACTCAAAACACCATCTCCTGGGACTGATGCAGTAGCCTATTGGCTGAAGCCCTCACCTTGAATGTGCCAAGACCCCATGTGGGTGCTGGTTCTAATCCCATCAGCCCCGCTTCCCATCCGGCTCCCTGCTTCCCATCCAGCTCCCTGCTTGTGGCCTGGGAAAGCAGTAGAAGACGGCCCAAAGCCTTGGGACCCTGATCTCATGTGGGAGACCTGGAGGAGGTTCCTGGCTCCTGGCTTCAGATCAGTGCAGCTCCGGCCATTGCGCTCACTTGGGAAGTGAATCATTGGACGGAGGATCTTCCTCTCTGTCAGTGCAGCTGCTGGGATTAGAACCAGTGCCCATATGGGATCCCAACGCATTCAAGGTGTGGACTTTAGCTGCTAGGCCATTGCACCAGGCCCAAAATAAATAAATCTTAAAAAGGAAAAAAGAAAAAAAAACCCCACCATCCCCTAAGAGTACCCATTCAGCAGAAACTACACATTGGTAAGGCAGGCAGTGACTGAGTTCTCCAATCCTGCTGGACTGGGACATTCCTGATACCTAAGAGCCTCTACATGAAGAGGTGACACAAGGCTCTAGAGTGGAGTGCAAACAGAGGCAACAACAGAACATAAGGGCCAAGAAGAGAGACACTTATGAAGAAAAAGGAGAAGTACCAAAAAAAAAAAAAAAAAAAAACGAAGAAAGACAGATTTATCAAAAAGCAAACTATAAAAATATCTAAGAGATTTCCTGAGCATCAGAAAATGTTTAAAAAGCCAGAACATGGTATTAATTCTGAGATACACATTTTAAGCTTTTTTCAAAATACTTTCACAAAATAAGGAAAAACATTCTGATTTTCTTTACAAAAACAGGAAGAGAAAGCCCGTAAGACATTTTCTAAATCTTACAATGTGAGGTAGTTAAACTGAGCTTCCAGATTACTAAAAAACATAAAATTACTTAAACAAGACTAGGATTTTTATAGAAAATTTTCAGAGTATTTCAATAAATTTTGCAAATACTACATGTTCTCATTCATTCTATCTTAACTAAGTAGATTCAAAGTTGTTAATATTTGCAGGAGTAGGAATGCTAATAGGATACAGTGAATGATTTCCTAAGAGGCTTTTGTGTCAGTGAAGGAGCTGAAATCACTTCTCCAAATTGATTAAAATAAGTGCACATTTATTTTAATTAGGAAAAATAGTAAAAAGACAAAACAAACCATCAAATCACTGGCATATAAAGGATTCCAAGCTGAGAGAGAGACTGTGCAAGGAGAGAGTTCACACTTGATGGTATATTCCCCAAATACCCACAATGGCTGGTGTTGGGCCGGGGATAAAACCAGGAGTCAGAAACCCAGTCAAGGTCTCCCTCATCGGTGGCAGGAACTGAAATAGCTGGGACATCAGTTAGGCTCTACGTCAACAGGAAGCTGGAGTCAGGCATCAGCGCTGGCCATCACACCCAGCTACTCCAAAATGTAAGATGGGCATCTTAACAACCCGAGCAGTGGGGAACGTCTATCTTGCCAAGACTCATTTGGATATTTATAACATCAGTCATGGGCGACACACAAAATTATCAGGTTAAAAATTAGCCCATCAGATTTACTGAATTTTGAGTCCCACCTGTGGTTTCCTTGGAAGAGCCAGGTAAAATGATTTCATAAACCTTACATAGTCTGAAGACTAGAAAACCCTCATTCGGGTGCAAGGCTACATTCCTGCCTCGATGTAATTTTTTGCAAAGATTTATTTTTATTTTTACTGGAAAGTCACATACACAGAGAGGAGAGACAGGAAGATCTTCTCTCCAATGACTCATTCCTCAAGTAGCCAGGAGCCAGGAGCTTCTTTTGGCTCTCCTATGTGGGTGCAGGGTCCCAAGGCTCTGGGCTATCCCCAACTGCTTTCCCAGGTCACAAGCAAGGAGCTGGATGGAAAGCTGGGCCAGCTGGACACGAACCAGCCCCCATCTGAGATTCTGATGTATGTGAGGCAAGGACTTTAGCCACTAGGCTTTTGTGCCAGAATCTCAACTTAATTTTTAATGAGGTGAACCATTCCCCTCACAGATTGTCCCTTTCAGACAAACAGGTCAGATATAAACAGTACCTTATTATGACAATTTGGTTTTTCAGTCGGGTCAGGAGACTGAGCTCTGTTTCTGGGACTAGGCCATTCTTCCCCAATCAGAGATGTCCTCAGGGAGACCTTGTTTAGTTGCTGAATGTATAGGAAGAGCAGGAACTGCAAGGTGTCCACTGAGAGCTGTCCGCAAAGAAAAATAAGGGATTGACACATCTTTTCAAACAGTACCCATCACCATTTTACAACTAATTAGACACTGTAAATAAATTTACAAGTTTGTTGATCCTGAAGAACACATTTAGAAACATTGCTAGCATCTGATATGTATGTCTCTGCTATCCAGATATAAGAGTTTCTAAAACTAATGCAACAGCAATCAAAAATGCCTTCTCGGAAAGCTGTGTTATCCTCCATGACCATAGATACAATTCTCTAAAAACTGAAGGGGAGGATGAAGTACAAACCTTCTTAAAGTATAATATTTCAGGGTCTGGATGGTAGCCTAGCAGCTAAAGTCCTCACCTTGCACACACCAGGATCCCAGATGAGCACCAGGCCAAGTCCTGGCTGCTCCACTTCCCATCCTGTTCCCTGCTTTGGCCTGGGAAAGCAGCAGAGGATAGCCCAAGTCCTTGGGCCCCTGAAAGTCCATGGGAGACCTGGATGAGACTGCTGGCTTCTGGCTTCAAATCTTTTTCTAAAGAGATGTATTTATTCATTTTTTTAAAGATTTATTTATTTATTGGAAAGTCAGATATACAGAGAGGAAGAGAGACAGAGAGGAAGATCTTCCATCCGATGATTCACTCCCCAAGTGAGCGCAACGGCTGATGCTGTGCCAATCCGAAGTCAGGAACCAGGAACTTCTTCCAGGTCTCCCACGTGGGTGCAGGGTCCAAAGGCTTTGGGCTGTGCTCGACTGC